CCTCTCCAGGCAGGAGCGATGTCCCGGGAGCGGGGAGGGCTCCGGTCCGGGTGGCTCCCGAGCGATGCGCCCCAGCCCGGTGAGCGACGCACCCGCCGTCCAACTCGCCTTGCCCGGGTGGCCCTCCGATCCTGACCCCGGTTCCGACGGAGCGCACGGTCTCCTGGGCTAGCCAGCCGCGCAGCTTCCCCGGCTCCTCTGTCGTGACCTCGAATCGCCTGGAGAGCCCGGTCCCGCGTGGCTTCTCTCCTCTCCTCTCCCTCCTTCCCTTACTCCCTCCGGTTAAAAAAACAACGACAAAAAAACCCCAATCCTGATCCTTCCCGGCTGGCCAGGCAGGCGAGAAGGCGCAGGGGAGAAGAGTCGCCTTCCTCCTGCCCGAGGGGTGGGCAGGGAGAGGCATCTGCCTGCTGTCGCCAGCCAGGGTGGGCGAGAGGAGACTGGGCAAGGTGGCAGCAACGGCCCTGCAGGCACTTCTTGCGCCTCGCTGGGAACGGGAGCCACACCGCCCCCCAGGACATCCCCAGCGCCTCCCTCAGACTCCGGGCGAAGCGGCTCCCTTCCCGGCTCAAGGAGGATTGGAGTGGCTTCTGTTAATGGGAGGATAATTACGGATGCTGCAGTGAGACCAACACCGGGGGAGCCCCTGCAGCGAGGGGGGGGGAAGAGCTTGAGAAAGAGCGGCGAGGCAAGACAGGAACGGACCTCCTCCAGACCCAAGGCCTGCCCAGCAGCCCCGCAGGGCACCCTAAAAGGGACAGAAAGGCCAACCCGGTCCAGGCAGCTGGCTTTCTACCTCCTTTCCTGCCATCAGGTGTGGACAGCCGTTCTGGTGGGGGCCGCGCGCCCCCAAAGTGTCAGCATGAGGAGCCCTCCCGGAGGGCTGCCCCCAAGTCTCCTGCAGCCCTAGCAGACAGAGCTGTGCCTCTCTCTCTCTCTCTCTTTGCCTTTTTTTCTGTTCATTTCTCGGAGAAGGTTGGACACCCTTGGGGTCTCATTTCCTGGGCTTGCCGGTCCAGGGCGCTTGTTGCCAAGGCCTGGGGGTGCTGGCTACCTGGGCCGTGAGGTGAGATGTCCCTTGGGGCTGGCCTCTGAAGTTCTGGTGTGGCTACCTTTTGGCCCATCAAATACAGGGACTCATCCTGCCGAAAGCTCTCTCCTTCGCAGGGCTGCTTGGATCCCGCCTGGTGGAAGGGAGAAGGACCATCAAGAGGTGGGCCCAGAACCAGAGGGGGGAGGGTCAAGAGAGGCGGCTTGGAAGGGTGTCGTGATCTCCTCTCCAAATACATTTACCAAGGATGGCAAAATATGCCTCCAGGGTTGTGCCAAGCAGCCGGGCTTTTTGAGGTTGGTGATCCACGGCAGGGCAGGGGAGGGCACCTGGACGGATGGAGGAGCAGCCCCCCCTCCACATGCCTCTTGGCACAGCTTATTCTTTGCATCCCATTGGGCCCAGCCATGGCACCTCGATAACCAGAGTCTGGCCCGTCGTTCATCCTCCACAGCATTATTACCACAAGGTGGAAAGGATTCTAGCTTGATCCACACAGAGAGAGAAGGAGAAAGAGGGAGAGAGGGAGAGAGAGAGAGAGAGAGAGAGAGAGGGCTCTGGAATCATTTGAATGCAAATCCATGGGGTTTATTTTAATTGCTTTCCCTCTGAGAAGGAAGCCTCCCTTCCCTCCTGGCCTTTGGGAGGACAAGAAAGCTTCCCGATGCAGAAGGGAGGAAGGACAAGGCAGAAACCTTCCCCTTGGGACTGACTTGGGATTCCACACAGATGCAAAGTGGGGATACGGAGTGAAACCAGAACGAAGAAACCCAAGGAGATTCGGAAGGAAATGGCAGGGTCCTTGCCTTCGGCTCTTCCGCCTTCCTCACAGCTCCAGGATTTATCTTCTTGGACTGATTTTTTTGCCGGTCCAAAGCCAGCTTCCAGCATCTATCCAGCCCTTGAGGTATATTGGCTGGTCCTTTAGATGCTGAGCAAGGTCTGCATGTTCAACAAACAAGCGGCATGGTGTGGTATAAGGAAATCAGTTCCAGGCAGCTAAGACTGAAGACAATCCAGGCGACCTTCCCAGGAGAGCAGAGGTGGACTCCATGACGGCCAAAGAACCTCCCCACACACACACCTGGCATCCTTCGAGGCACCTCCAGCAGCCTCTCCTCAGGCATCAAGGCAGTCTGGTGGCAGATGGGATCCACAGGCTCAGTTGCCCATGGATGGATGCATCCAGGAGACCTCAGAGAGGCTGGCATGGTTGGGAGGCATGGTTCAGAGTCCTTGGCTCCAGAATGGCTCACTCCTCCTCCTCCTCCTCCTCCTCAGAGACCTTTGATGGCCCCTTAAACCCAGAGCATCCGTGGGCCACAGGACGTGGTAGGCGCAAAGCTGATGATCCCAGGACTGGCTGCTTAGACTTTCCAGAACATCCTTCCCTGGCGGTTCTTGGCACAACTGAAGGATCTCACAAAACAGTGCCGCTGAGCATGTGCGCGATGCCCTGGAATTGGGAACCAACACACAACACCTCTTTTTACAAGCACTTATTTTGGCTTATTTGCCTGCCCTTTCACCACCACCACCACCACTTACCGGGGTTTCTTGTCAGCAAGATGGCCAGTGGAGTCATCCTGCCCCCTGTCTTAAAAGGAAGATGGCAGAGACGGGATGATTAAGACTTGGAAGCAATCGCCCTTTAAGCACAAAGTATTCTGGCCCTCCGTATCTTTTCTTTTGCTTTCTTTTTGCACGGATGCAGGAAAGGCGAAAGGCAAGGCCAAGGGCTCTTATGGAAGGCCTCCTTGTGACCTTGTGAAGGTTAAACACAAAGGATGCTCCGGAGCCTGCCTGACGTTGTGGTTCGTGGAAGGACACCCGTAGGGGAGCTTTCTCGGACAGCAAGGTGATCGCAAAGCATCTGGAAATCCACCCAAGTGACTGTTTCTGCTGCAACCTTCACAAGTCACAGGGTTTGTGTTGAAGAGGGAGGCAGGGGGAAAACCTGCCGGTCAAGATGCCAGGACTCAGCAACGGCACCATCAATGTGCATGTGAGGCAGTGGAGGATGAATCTTTGGTCGTGGTTGGGTTGAACAGGATGCCTCCCCCTGAACACACCCGGGGTATAGAAGAGGGGGGGACCCTGAGAGAGACACACCGCTGGCTGGCAGAGGCTCTTGGAGATTCAAAGGCAAGACAAGTCCAGGAGAATGAATATCCCCATCGAGGAAATCCATATGCATGGGACATCTCTGAAAATACACCTCCCCACGCAAAAGCCATGAGGTGGGTCAGGGGGTTGCTACTGCCTGATGCACTGACTCTGAAATTTATGGGACTTTTTCTGGAGACTCAGGATCATTGCGTTTCCATGTTCATCGCCCCCCCCCCTCTTCTCAGCCACCTGATTCCAGAAACCCGATTCTTCAACATTTAAAATGCAACAGCAGCACCAGTCTGCTGATGGTGGATAAACCAGTCACCCTCCGGCAGGCTTTTGAGGACTACTGTGACTTTAATTAAAAGGCTCCTGTTTGTATATTCTGCTTGTTTTCCGCCTTCAGTTTAGCAGCAAGCTGATAGCTTCTTAATTATCCTTCCAAAACAGCATCTCTTAATTACCTCTGATGGTCTTTTCCTCTAGAGGAAAGGTTTTAATTTCTAACCTGTTCCTTCATCATACAAAATGTAAATGGAGGGGAAATGATTAATCCCCACCCTTCCCTCACCCACCCAACACAGGTAAGCCAGAAAATGACATTAAGGTCAATGAGGGTGCAATCCTGTGAACACTGATCAGACAGTAGCCCTGTGCAACACAGTGGGGTTTGCTTCTAAGTAAACAGGCATCAAACAGTGCTGGAAGATTAACCATTCAAAGGGCTCTTCACAGGCTGTTTCTCAGCTTTCTCCTCCAGTGATACTGAGGAAGAGGAAGCAGCAGCGCTAAGATGCTGAAATTGCAAAGAGGAAGATGACACTCAGTGGTTGAAGGGGGGGGGAGGCAGCCTTTGTTTAAGGGAACTTAACTGCTGAATGCTTGTATATATGGGACGAACTTGGCCATCGGGAAGGGCATTGCTGAATAATAGAGCCTTATTATGGGCTTGCTTAGAATCCATTTTTAATTCTGCTTCCCCTCCTAGAGAGGGGGAAAGTGCATTGGCTGAATAAAGGGAGGATGGTGGTCCTAGGACAGCGTGTGTACAATTTCATATATATCCATACATGCAATGTGTGTATATGCATGAAAAATGTATTGGTCAGCATTTTTAAAAAAACTAATTATTTGATTGTATCAAAGTCCCTGGCCACCCCACCGAATATAGATATTAAGCAAAACAAAGTAAAAAGCAAATAATCTTCTCTGAGGTTTAAAAAGGAAAACAAAACTGATGTATAAATGTCTTAAATAAATAAATAAATAATAACCAGGCAGGCTCTTCCCTGCTGCATCTTTAAAAGGTCAGTCATTGAAATTGAAAATTGAAATTTGTAATTTTATGATTTTATATATTTTTATAGTGTTTTGTTTTATTTTGTAAGCCGCCCCGAGTAGACATGGTCTAGAGGGGCGGGGTAAAAATCAAATAAATAAATAAATAAAAATAAAGTCAAGAGAGGCCTTTGGGGCTCAGGGACCATGCTATGCTTTCAGCATTGAGAGAAATGCTTTCAGGTTGGGTTGGAAGAGAGCAGGAGCTTGGATGGTGGGGCAGGGGCTGCTTCTCCTCCCCAGAACCCCGGAGGCCGACCTGAGGCCACCTTAAATGGCCACCATAATGGCCACCAAGGAAAGCTGTCTTCAGTTCTTGATCTGTCTTCCTCTGATGCCATGGCTTCAGTTTCCACACTGTGGGTTTCTACCAAGGACACGGTGTCATCCCAGACACCTTAAACCACCCACTGGAAGTCAAACTGCTTAGCTCATGAGTGTGATCTCTCTGGAAAGCTGACCCTGCCTTTTCTCTGTCTCTTTTCAATGCTGCAGGATCCTCTCGGTTGATGAAGGGTTTTAGGAACCCTGCAGAGCCCCACGTCCTGCTCTAGAGGTTTCTGAAGCATCACAAACGGAGGAGGTAAAAAAGCACCGGCCTTCTTCCACTTCTAGTGCTTTTACTCTTTTCCATCAGAGCGGGGAAAGGGAGAACGGGGGATGGTGGACAAGGAAGGGAATCAGCCTCAAGCCAGACCTTTGCTCTTACGTGTGCAGCACAACGAGGTGGTAGAATCCAGAGGCAAAGCAGAAGACAGTTCCAGTCTGGGTCACAGATGTGGAAAGCCTTTCCTAAAATATATTATTCACCAAGAACATCTTCTGAGCAAACAGCCCCCCCCCCGTGCCAAAAAAACAACAACCAAAAACCTGGCAGGTCAGGAGAGAGGGTTAGAGGTTAGGCTAAGCTGGTCTTCTACTTGCAGGGAGCTTTGCATTTTTTAGACTCGTAGAACCGTAAAATGACAGAGTTGGAAGTGACCTCGAAGGCCATCGAGCCCCACTCCCTGCTCATGGCAGGAGTCCCAATCCAAGCAGATCTGCCAGGTGGTTGTCTACATTTCCCTTTAAATGGAGGGGGCACAATTTTAAAAGTGGCCTGTCTCAGCACCTTCCCCAAGGCAGAGGTCTAAAGAGGCACCTCCCCTTCTTCTATCCCAGAACATTCCCAGGGTGCCCCCAAATAAAGACACCAGGGCTGCCAGGCTCTCTTGGGTAGGCATCTGTGAGGCCAGGCCAGGAAATGCCTGGGAAGGTAGCTAACCAGGCAGCAGGGGCTGGTCTCTGCAAAGGTCCATATGCAGTGCAGCCAGAGCTGTAGCTAAACTGGGGCAACAGGGGCTTTGACCCAGGCCCCCTAAATTTGGAGGGCGCAAGACCTTTGCTATCCACCCTGAAGCCTTTGCTCCTGAAAGGCCACCCTGAGCCCATGGGCCTCCTCTGGCTGCTTCTTCCTGGGCAGGATCAAAAAGACCAGACCAGACAGAACAGTGTAGCACCAAGGTGGCTGAGACATGCTCAGATCTAGGCAGTTCTCCCCTTTCCTTCTCCGTATGTTTGCTAACCACACGTGACCCACACTATCTAAAAAAAGATAGGGTGCCCTCAATTGCTAAAATGGCTAGTCAGGAGTCTTGAGCTGAGGCGCTTCATGGCTCTCCCCCCTCTCCATGTGAAATTGCAAAAGGGAAGTTGTTTGAGGACTAGTGCCACCGATGGTCTTCTCTGGTGGGGACCCTTAGGGGTAGGAACTCCCAGGCTCTGGATCTCGAGTTCCCTCTGCGAGTCCTCTGGGGAAAGGGCCCCTTGTTACTTCCAAACACTGCACAGCGGAGACAAAGCTGTTGAGATGCGTTGGATGGTTTGGAATCAAGAGGAAGTGAGTGAGGTCCCAGCATGGTGGAAGGGCGCAGAAGGTGCTCACAGGAAGCCTGAGGTGCAGGCGGGGGGCTCGGCTTCCCTCCTGTGGCCCAAAAGAGAAGAGACAGATGCGGTTGTGGGGTTTCCAGCCAGGCGAGAGTGCAGTGGGAGAGAGACGGAGTGAGCTGAGCTGCTAGCAGCACCGCCATGGAAGCCTTTGAGCTTCCCTTAGAAGATAGAGAGGGCCTGCTGAGCAAGGGAGGCTCTTTCCAGAGCAGGTAAGCTTCCCCTGGATCCTGCTTGGGGGGGGAGGTTGGTGGAGGTGGGCAGAAGAGAGGGATGGTACTTGGTGGGGGGGGGTCATGGTAGCTGAGAAGTCTTTGGAGAGGAGAGGCTCCTTCCTTCTTCAGCTGCCTGCAAGGGTGCTCTGGTTGGCTGGAGGGTCTGTCCTGGAAGAGGTGGGTCGGGAGGTGGCTACAGCTTCTCTCTCTCTCTTCTCTCTCTCTCTCTTTTCTCTCTCTCTGTGTCTGTTCTCGGTGGAGTCTTTCTCAGCTCCTCGGTGGCTCTTTTCCCATTCTGTTCTGTTTCTCCCGCTCAGATCTGCTGGCCATGGGCAACCTGATAAAGGTATTGGGCAAAGATTTAGAAAACTGTCCTCATTTTTTCCTGGATTTTGAAAGTAAGTCCCCTGCGCACACAGAGAGAAAAAGAGGGTGGGCGGGCACCATTCTCTGTGGTCACTGCTGGCAACAGGCGTCACTGTTCTCCCGAGAGGTTTTGGAGGGGAGGACACCTGGCACGCTTCAAAGGAGACCACCCCCACCCCACTCACGGGTTCACAGGCTGTGTTTCAAGATGTTTTGTTGGGAAGGTCCAGCCGGTGGCAACCAAGGAGTGGACGCAAGAACCCAACAGACTTACAGCTCAATCATCAGGACTCTCCCACATGGGCAATTTTTGGGAGCGGATCTTTGAGGAAGCTGCTAAGAGTTCCTTAGTATAGATGCTTTGATTCCTTGTCATATGCAGAATTCCTAAGCAGAGGATGTGACATGCCATGTCTTAGCTATAGGGGAGCCTAGAGGCTGAGCAGACCAGAAGGCAGCTGACTGGCAGGGTCGGCTCTGTCAGGAGGCAGAGGGATAAGCCTGTGCATTCTGGAATGCCACCAAAGGCCAGCATTGTGATAGCTACTTACTGCCGATTTTAATTCCAGGCATGGGGAGAAGAGATTGGATCTTATCAGCACCCTGTGGCAGCTATGCTGAAATACTTTGGGCAGCCGATGCCCCCCCCCCCCCGTGTCTGTTCTCGGTGGCAGGGATATTGGCTGCCCTGCTTCAGGGGGCAGGATTTCTTAGGGGACCAACTTTGGCAAAGAGAACACTTTGCAATCCAACGTTCCTGCTGTATTGATTGATTGGTTGGTTGGTTGGGCCAACTTTGGCAAAGAGAACACTTTGCAGTCCAACATTCCTGCTGCATTGATTGATTGATTGGTTGGTTGGTTGGTTGGTTCTTGTTGTTAACCTGGACCTTTCCAGCTGAAATCCATAGGAGATGCGTTCATTGCAGCTAACCTGCCCCATATATAGGGTGCCCCAGTGTTAACAGGATCAGCTGGTGGCTAAGGATATGAGTGGTGGCCAAAAAGAGAGCAATGTGCACTGCTTATATACTACCCTATAGTGCTTAAAGCATTTTCTGGGCAGTTTAACCATTTAATTATGCAGGCTACAGGTTGCCTGCCCCCCCATCCCCACACCAGCAAGCTGGGTAGTCAATTTACCAGCCTCAAAAGGATGGCAAGTGGAGTCAAGCTTGAGCTGGCTAGCTGAGCCCCAGGATGGAACTCAGGCCACGAGCAGAGTCTTCACCGCAACACGAGAGCTTCACTCATGGCATGGGCAGACCTTACCATTCAATTATGCAGGCTACAGGTTGCCTGCCCCCCCATCCCCACACCAGCAAGCTGGGTAGTCAATTTACCAGCCTCAAAAGGATGGCAAGTGGAGTCAAGCTTGAGCTGGCTAGCTGAGCCCCAGGATGGAACTCAGGCCACGAGCAGAGTCTTCACCGCAACACGAGAGCTTCACTCATGGCATGGGCAGACCTTGGTTCAGGTCAGGCCTCCTTCCACCGGCCTTCTATTCCTCAGCTCCAGGAATTCTGTCTGCAGGAATAAGGATACTGGTCTGACTGGGAAGAGGATTGTTAGGGTTTATTGATTTATTTTGAAGTGCTCTGAGTATTACTCGTTCCAGTTGGCAGTAGGCACTGGGGTCAGGACCCATCCTTGCAGCTCCAAGCTTTTTGGGGTGGGGTGTCTTGGAGGCCAAGATTTGAGAGAATTACTCATCCGAAACCACTCAATCACCCAGAGCTGAGATTCCATTCGGAGACTCTTGGGCTGCGTCCCTCCCTTACTCTGACCTCTTCAACGTAAAAGCAACAAGGTGGCCCAAAGCAAACTCTTCCCAGACCATTCCTTTTGCCTCCTCTCTGTGCCAGGGGACTGATCCTGCTATCTTCTTCCCATGTCAGCTTGTAAAGACTGAGACAAAAGGGCTGGAAGTCTTATAAAGCAATCCCGGCAGCCATGATCTATTGGCCAGGGTTATAGATTAACCCTTCAGAAGCATTGCACAGGCTTTGATCAGCACATAGATAGGTGGCTGGTTAAATATCCCAGAGGTGGGAAATAGGACAGGTTTTGGACTACAGGTCCCATAATCCCCAGCAATGTGGCCTAGCAGTGGCCATTCAGACTGAGGGGAGACCAAAAAAAAAAAAAGCCACATTTCTCATCTCTAAAATGTCCTGATGGTGGCATGGAATTTTAAGTGGGGTGAATGCTTGAAGGTGCTCTCCATGTGGCTCCTGCCAGGTTTGCAAGGGGCCTCCAAGGGCCGCCCCCAGAGCTGACCCTCTGGGGGCGCAAGGGGGTGCTCCTCCTCACCCCAAAATCTTGTCGGAGGACAGTGACCCTCCCTCCTCCTCCTCCGTTCCTTCTCATCAAGCCCTCCCCTCTCATCCAGTGAAGGCTGACGGCTCCACGGCCAGAGGAGCAGTGGATCCGAGCCAGGCTTTAGAACTTTGGAGGAACTGCCCAAGGTTCTGAACCTATATGGGGCTAAGCTCCGCCCCTTGGATAGCCCTTGTAATGTTCTGACCAAAACACGGTGTGGGCTCCCCACTCCTCTGACATTGGAGCCCCAGCCTCCGCTGCTCCCATCTTCCTTCATGTGGGGAGTACTTACCTCCGTTTGGGGCAGGAAGAGGCAAGGGGGCTCCTCAGGCCTGGTGCATTGACAGCTGCTCCTCTTGGATTCTCTTCCTTCCCTTCCCTTCCTGATTGGGCTTAAAAACAGGTACCTGAATTTGACGAAGTTTCGAGACCGAATCGCCTTGTTCCAAGAGTCACAGGCGACCAAAGCAACCTACCCCTTCCAGCGGGCGGCCCTGTTCTGATGGTTAGGCACCCGTGGCCGAAAGACTCTTCCTGCCGCCCGGATGGGGGTGCCTCTCACAGTGACCCTCCCCCATGGACCCATCTCCCTCCCCTCCCCACGACCCATCATGCTTTTCTCCCTCTTGTCTCTTCTCTTGCAGGTATCACATGGGGAACCTTCTTAAAGTGTTGACTTATAACGAGCTTGACCAAGGGCCTAATTTTTTCCTTGACTTTGAACGTGAGAAGGGATATTTATTTTATTTCATTGTCTTTATTTTAATCCACCATTCCGTTCGTTGATTTGCTCATTATTAACATTGGTTTCCTGCATTTCATGTTCCTTTGCCGGGCCGGGGGAAGAGCGGCAGAGCTCATGGGTGGGTGGGTGGCATAGAAAGAAGGAACAGGGCAACCCGCTCTCCCCCGTCTGGGACATCCGAGGGCAGGGGTCAAGGCAGGGCAGCTCTGCTGAGAGCAGTGGATACGGATATGAACTCTCTTGGAGTTTTCTATGCCAGTTTCCCAGACTGACCACAGAAGAGGGTAGGAGAGAAAAGGCAGAGGGTGGGTGGGAGCCCCTCCCAAGATCCATGCTCTTGTTGTGGGTGCAAAGAACCTTTCACTGTGCACTCATTGCAGGTGGATAACTTGGTTTCAGGCCATAGCTGGCATGCGGTGGCACTTCCCCTTCGCCAGCAGATGCCAGCCTGCCTGGGTACCGAGGCTTCCCCATGACTGGGTTCCTGGAGGGGGGAGGGTTACAATCGACTCCCCACTGGAGGAGCCCCAGGGGTGAGCCTTCCTAAGTGCCCTGGGGGGGCTGTGCCTGCCTTGAGAAGCAAAGCGAGGGCTAGAAGGGAGCTAGGCTATGCAAAGACAGGCTGTCCATCCCATGCCCACAGGTTGTCACCATGAACAGTGGCCCCAAATGTTCTTGGACTACAGTTCCCAGAAGCCAGTTTACTTGGCTGTGCCGACTGTGGCTGCTGGGAGCTGTAGTCTAAAAGGACCAAGGCTCCAGATTTATGGAAGGGTGGGCTTAGGGAAGGGTGGGTAGCTAGTACTCCAAGTTGCCACTGGCTTGGTCTTTGCTTTGTTTTCATACTTCCTGAATTTACTTTGGTCCACTGGTATATTTCTTTTTTTTTTTTTAAGCCAAAGGGCTTGTTAAAGACATGCACCCGGATCCCTTGGCAGCTCACATTTTGGGGGCAATGAAAGATATTTCCCCTCCCCCACTGCATAGTACCTCCAGATTCCTTGGCTGGGGGGAGCAGAGGATGTGGGAGGGCCGGAAAATCCCGGGTCACACATTTCTTGTTTCCTTGGTACCCCAAAAGTGTTCCTTCTTCGGCCAACGGCTTGGGTTGCTTTAGAGCCTTTGGACCCCAAGGCGTAGGTGGTGGTGGTTCTTAGGTCCTCCCTGCCCTGAGCAAATGGTGCACGAGGGCGAGACCCTCGATTCTCACCACATGTCCTGAATTCTCACTTTCTGTCTGGTGGCGTTTGCTGTAGACGCTCAGCCTACGGAAGCCGAAACGGCCGTGTGGAATCAGGTGAATGCCGTCCTGGAGGAAGCCCAGACCATCCTGGCAGAGCTGCAGTCCTACACGGGAGCAGGCCAGGAGATCCGAGAGGTACCGCCAACACACGACCTGCCCCATCCGTAGCCGGGACCCTCACCTGGGCAGGAGGCTCTGTTCGGGAGAGGATAATGCAGGCGAAGACTCTTCCCTGCCCTGCTTCAGTCCACTGGCCCTCCTTTTGTCTCGGAAAGGGATCTGTCCTACTTGGGGGAAAGCCTTGGGCGCTACTTTTAAGTGCCCTGCCTCCACCCTGCCAGAATTTGGTGGAGATTCTGAGTTGGAGTTTGGAGAGGAGGGGGGGCAGGGGAGGAAGCTAGTGCAGAACTGTATGCCTCTCTCCAAATGAAATCTCGGGATTCTGTTGGACAGACTCATCCTGGTAACAGTGGTTTTGATCTGCCACAACTGCTCAGATGGGAGGAAGCTACTGGGTTGATCAGTCCAGATCACTGGACTTGGTGGATCTGGATGGCAGGCTTGGAGGTTGGCTGGCTCCTTTGGAGAAACACCACCTACCTCCTCCTTTATTTATGGAGTGGGGGAATCAAAGAGAACCCACTGAGCCGCCTGGCGATTTCCTTGCAGGCCATTCAAAACCCCAGCGACCTGCAGCTCCAGGAGAAGGCCTGGAACGCCGTCTGTCCGCTGGTGGCCAAGCTGAAGCGGTTCTACGAGTTTTCTCTTCGGCTTGGTGAGTGCGGGCCTGCCTCTCGTCTCCATCTGGGCTAGACCATCTTCCATGGCGGGCGGGGGGCATGGAAGAGAACACGGCCACAGAGAATGGGGGCCCTTTGGCTCCCTTCTCACCTCCTGCTTGAGTATTGTTCAGATGGCATGAAGTGATTTTATTGGGGGCGTGTGTGAGTTTCTGCCTGAGGGACCAATCCATGGGCTCGCTGGTATGGCAAGAGGTGGGTTTCATTGTACCAAAAGCAGGGGTCAGGCATTTCAGAGCCAGCACTGGCTTATCAGCTAGTCAAGCGGGAGGAGTTGAAGGAGGAGAATAGCGAAACAGGGCTATCCTCTTGGCTCCCTCCCTTGGGCTCTTTTTCTCCCTCAAGTCTCACCTGAGAGTACCTTAGAGGAGCTTTCACTGTTTTCATCCCAACTGCAACTGCTGTTTGGAACTGGTGCCTGGTTTCAATTGCTTTCCTCTTCCCTCCTCCTCCTTTTTCCTTGTGTGTTGCTTCATTTAGATTGTATGCTGGAACACAGCAATGGTCTTGTGTCAGTTCTGCAGATATGTTGTGGTCTTTCCCACTGAACAGCAGGGGAGAGATACTTCTAAAGTTGGCCTACGGACCTTCCCACCTCTAGGTTGTTGTACCCTTAAAAAATTGCAGCAGGTCTTGAGATGCAAGTGTAGTCTTTCCCACTGAACAGTAGGGGAGAGATACTTCTAAAGTTAGTCTACGGACCTTCCCACCTCTAGGCTGTTGTACCCTTAAAAATTGCAGCAGGTCTTGAGATGCAAGGCCAGCAGACTGGCCCCCAGGAGGCGGCTGGATTGCGGTGCAAACAGAAAAAGGCAGATGGATGACTCTCCGTTCATGGATGGGGGAGCTTTTCAAAGGTTTCAGGAACTCTCCAAGGTGCTGAAACTACTTTGGGGGACACCCTCCCATACCTTTGGTAGCTCTTGCAAGGTGTGGGTCAAAGCCTGCAGACGATTTATTGCCCCTGCTAGGTGGGAGCCACCAAGGTGTCCTGCCTTCAGCTCTTTCTCCTTCTCCGAGGCAACAAAGGGCCCATGGAAGGTCCATTTGCAAGAAGACCGATCTCAGGGTTTTCCTCTGTCCTTCTAGAGAGCCAATTCCGGATTCTGTAGGACAAACCCATCCGTACACCATGATTGTGGGTGTGTTTGCTTTTGTGTCCGTGTTGTGTCCACAGTAAGAGCTGATTTCACCTGATAATGCTAGAGGTGCTACTAGGGGGTGGAACCCCACCCCCACCCACTCCCCATCTCCCACATCTCTGCCTCTCAGTGACCGGAACCCTGAAGTCACCTTCTGAGCCTGTGTGGGCAGATGGGCCCTTAGTTATGGGGAGGCCGGTTGCTGTGGCCTCTCCCCCCCCCGGCGTCCGTGCCCACAGACAGTCCGTCTTTTTAAGGAGGACCGAGAGAAGGGCTGTGTGTGTGAGACGTGCCTGCTTTCTGCCTCCTAGAGAATGCCTTGAGGAGCTTGCTGGAGGCGCTCACCAGCCCGCCCTATGCACCGACTCAGCACCTGGAAAGGGAACAAGCGCTAGCCAAGCAGTTTGCTGAGATTCTGCACTTCACGCTCAGCTTTGATGAGCTCAAGGTAACTTGGAGCCGCTGCGGGAAAGAAGGCCACCGGCAGCAGGGGTTGATCCAGAGGTGGCAAGCGCTGGTGATCACTGGATCCTGAGCAGGGGTCATGATCTCAGATCATCTTAAATAGCAGCCTTGCTTATTCTTGGCTCGGCAGAGAACAGCTGTGCATTTTACACGACGCAAAGACACACAGAGAGCGTGGTCTTCGCACAGGGGTAGACAAAGCCTGCGGTCACTTTGTCTGTTCTCTTTTGTGTATCTGAGCACCACTCCTCGTTGCTGACCGCCTCTCTATCTGTCTCCCAGATGACCAACCCTGCCATCCAGAATGATTTCAGTTACTACAGAAGAACCATCAGCCGAAACCGGATCAACAACCTGCAGGTAAAAAAAAGAAAGGCTGTTTATTTCTAGTTTTTTTGGGGGGGGGAGTGAAGGCTCCTGAACACCCAGCGAGAACAGAGGAGAGGAAAAGTCTCGAGCAGAAAGACAAAGGGAAAGGTCACCGCATCTGCGTTAAAGGCAAGACACGTCAAAGCTTGTTTGTCAGGTTGACTGCAGAAACAGTCAGCGATCATGGACAACTTCCCATATGTGGAAAGCAGGCGCAATTAACACAGAAACTGGCCTAATGGTTTTCCTATGTGTAGTGGAATAAGATGAGCTAGTATTCAATGCTCCTATTCTGGATCTGGGTGTGGGAAGGGAGCAGCAGTCCCCTCTCCGGCCTTTGTGCAGCCTTCACAAACCCTAAAACTTCAAAAGCCCAGTCCAGAGGGTTATGGAACGAGCAGGAAGGACCAGTGACCCAAAATCTCAGTGTCGCTACAGGCATCGGGGTCAGATTCAGGCCTATGTCCGCAGCATTCCAACTTCCCCTTTAAGTTCTGGTTTCACACTGATAGGAGTGTCGTAATGCAGAAGTCCAGCTCTCCCGGTCAGTAACCGTTCTCCTTTCCCGCCTGGCAGCTCGATTCGGAGAGCGAAGTGAACAATGAAATGGCCAACCGGATGTCCCTCTTCTATGCCGAGGCCACCCCCATGCTGAAGACGCTGAGCAACGCCACCACCAAGTTTGTTTCCGAGGTGAGCGATGAGCTCCCCCAGAAGGGAGGAAAGGCTCACATCAGAGGTGCCAAAACGACACTGCAAACCAAAGGTTCCCTGTGCTGGGAATGAGAGCCCCCCCCCCACCGCTGCTCTCCCTTCAGGTCTGGAATTTGCTGCCTCCCCAGGGTGAAGAACCTGGGTCCCCACCCAGTGCAAACCCGGTCTCTCTGCTGCTTCGTTTCAGAACAAAACTCTTCCGATAGAGGATACGACCGACTGCTTAAGCACCATGGCCTGTGTCTGCCGAGTAATGCTGGAAACGCCGTGAGTCTGCGCCTTTTGTCGCTTGCTCATACATCCCGCCAGGCTGCTTGTGAGGATGGCAGAAAAGCCAGGCAATGGGCAACAGCAGCCAATAAGCGAGCCATCTCTGGGAAGATGGTCCCTATCACAGGGCCGGCTCTGCAGCGTCTCTGCCAGCCTCCCCCCCCCCGAAGAGCCTCCTCTCTGGTGCCAGCTCTCCTTGACAGCCGGCTTCAATGTTTTTAAGTGTGTGTGTGTGTTGGGGGGGGGAAGGTTGTCCTCCTTCTGAGATCAGGATCTTCAGAAGGGGTTTGGGGGGGAGGGTCTCAAGAAACAGGCAAACGTACGCAGCTGCAAAAGGCATGGGAGGGTTTTGGAAGTCCTTTGGAGGGACGGAGGGGCTGGCACCAGTCAAGGTGGCTCTACAGCTTTGAAGGATGGGCCGTGGCCTTCCACACCCTCCGCACCACGCCCCACCCTGCAAGGCACTCCCACCTAGCAAGGGAGGAGGCTGGGCAGCCAACGAGGCATGGGGAGTTCACTTGTGATACCCCCTCCGGCTTCACTGAACGTCGCCTTTTGTCTCATGGGTTCTGGTGGAACTCTGCTGGTGCTGGACCAGGCAAAGTCTGGCTGGATCCCTGTTGAGGGCGGGCAGGCAGGCAGGCGGGCAGGCAAGGCTGGAAGGGGCATAAACAGCGAGCGGGCCCGTGGAAGTCCCTCCTCCAAGGGTCTCTTCTCTCCACAGGGAATACCGCAGCCGATTCACCAACACTGAAACTCTCCTTTTCTGCATGCGCGTGATGGTGGGGGTCATCATCCTCTACGACCACGTACACCCTGTGGGGGCTTTTGCCAAGACCTCCAAAATTGATGTGAGTGACATTTCCAGTATGAGGGAAGTGCCAAGCAGCTCGGTGAAGGGGATGAAGGAAATACCATTGATCAATGCCTTATGAAAAGCCCTAATGGCAAGCAGCTCGGTGAAGGGGCTGAAGGAAATACCGTTGATCAATGCCTTATGAAAAGCCCTGGGGTTGGGGGGGGGGGGGGGGGGGGAAACTTCTTTTTTTTTTTTTTTTTGAGACATCAGTGTTCCATCCACTTGGAGCATTCTTGTTTCCCTTTCCAACTTACTAATTCTGTTTTAGAAATACTGGCAACTAAGAATTAAAATAGCCACACTGGGGTGGGGTGGTGGGGTTTCTTGTTGAGTTTAAACAGGCTGTTTCTTACCTTATGCCTTGCCTCGTTGCCCTTATTGACAGGCCCTGAAATGGCCACCCGCAGAACAAACATTTCCATCTCCCATCTCTCACGAAGCTGCTCACGGGGAGCTGGACTGAGGTTGCGTTTTCCCACATCTTTTAAAAACTTGGCTAAGGTGTCATTTATTGTTTCATTGCCCCCAGATGAAAGGTTGCATCAAGGTCTTGAAGGACCAGCCGTCCAACAGCACAGAAGGTCTTCTGAATGCACTGAGGTGAGGCAGAGGGAGCTGAGCCTCCAGGGGCCACTGCAGGATAGCTGACACGGCTTCAGGGACACTATGTTTGGCCTGCCTCTTGTGCAAGCCCAGGGATGGGGTGGGAGGGAGAGGAGAAAACTCGAGTGGCTTGGTAGGCTGGGCCAGATCCTGGAGGTGCAAGAGGCTTGGTCCGGGGGTCATCAGAGACCTTTGTGAGAACGGTGAGCAGGTTGAAGACTTTTCCAAAGCTAGACTTAGGGGGTTCCTGACTATAAGGGCCCTTGGTGACAGATACTGAGCAAACGCTGGCCTGGAGGAGCTGACCTAGCAAGGTGGCTTTGCAGAAGAGGCCCCGTCTCCCACCCTTTCCCCGCAGAGAGGGCCACCACAGAGGGACCAGGGCCACCGGTGCCATCTCCCACCACGGCCCCTGCTTCTTCCTCCTAGGTACACCACCCGGCATCTCAACGATGACACCACGTCCAAGCAAATCCGGGCCTTGCTGCAATGAACGCGTCCGGCCGCTGAGAGGGGAGCCATTCGCCAGAGACCCCGACAGGGACCGTTCCTTCAGCAGAAGTTGTAATGTTGACATGTTGCTATAAATAACCATTGGCCATCATAGTTCTCATTTTGTAAAAAAGAAGAAGATGATGTTGCGTTGAGGAAGAAGAAGATGTTGATGAACAGGGAAGATTTTAAATATATATATATAAACAAATGGAAATATATATATATATATACAAACACACACATATATATATATACTGACACACATACATATCTATAAAACTACGACAGATAATCAGCTGAGTGCCAATCCGCTCCGCCTTCTAAGACACTCCATCTTCAATTCTGGCAAAAGTGCAACTCCAGTTTTATTGCTACGGCCCTTCTCACCATTCTGATTCTGGCCCCATCCGGGCTGGTGTGACGTGTCCGGCTCTCGGCCCCTGATCAACTGCCTGAGTTGGGCCAAGATGTCCGGGGGAAGAAGGATGCAGTTCCTCCCAAGAGGAGGCAAGGGTGGGTGCGAGCTTCCCTTTCCGAAGGGGGAAGAGGCATCGTTCTGGGGGTCAAGGGGTGGAAGTCCTGTTTCCCAACCCTCGTGAGGTCCAGAGGTGGGTCACCCGGCGTGCAGGAGGAGCGCTAAGCTAGAAGGATGGACAGAGGCTCTCTTATCGGAGGTGTAAATAATATGTCTGGGAAATGACTGTTGATCGGATATGACCAGTATGATTGAGGGATGAGGATGATGGTGGGATGATGGAGGGCATCATCGTTAAAATCTTTGACACTGATTCCATTCAAAATGGTTCAGTCACACCTTTTAGATTTTTAATATAAACAATTAAAATCCACTCACCTGTTCTTTTGTACATTTTTTTTCTGTGTGTCAAATAAAAGGGGAAAAAAAATCATCCAGTGTCCAAGAGATTAGCCTGGTTGTTAAACTTTGCCATGAGAAAACCGTGTGCATTCATGCAAAGGGGGCTTTGTAACTGAATTTATATCCAAAAAGGTTTGGGCAGCAGGGACCCCCAACCAACGTTTCTGTACCCATTTATTCAGAGAACCTGCAGGTCAAGACCATGAAGGGATCAGGATGGCAAAAGGAGAAAAAGATTGTACATCCACTGAATTGGAGGCCTGGGCCTTCTCTCTGTGACCTGGGATCATCACACCACCATCACCACAACAGTGACAACAAGGAGGCGTTAGAACCTGCCCTGTTTCCCCGAAAATGAGGCCTAACCTGAAAATAAACCCTAGTATGATTTTTCAAGAGGCTTGTCATATAAGCCCTACCCTGAAAATAAGCCCTCGTTAAGTGAAACCCCGCCCTCCACCCTTGTGCAGCAACCAGAAGATGATGGCATGGCTGTCTTTGAATAATATAGATTGTTGTACATGAAAAAAATAAAAGATCCCCTGAAAATAAGCCCGAATGCTTTTTTTGGAGCAAAAATCGATATAAGACCCTGTCTTATTTTTGGGGGAAACACAGTAGAGAGCTGAAAGTGAGAAGCGTAGCCTGCCTGGATGGCCCCAGGTGGCCGACGGCTTTGCTAGGAGGCTATGAACAGAAAGGGAAGTGATGCCAGGCTTCAAGTTACAGAAACTCCATGGAGAATGGCCTGGGTTTTTAAAAACTGTTTGGTGGCTATAATAATAACCCAGTGGAGTATCAATCTACCAATACTGGGAATGTGGACAAAATTAAAATAAGTTGGCAATGCTTTTTCTTTCTTTCTTTCTTTCTTTCTTTCTTTCTTTCTTTCTGTCTATCTATCTATCTATCTATCTATCTATCTATCTATCTATCTATCTATCTATCTATCTATCTATCTATCTAAATCCCACCGAGATCACCTTGGCACAATATTACCGTACGTATTAGCCACTTTGCTGAAATTCGGATGATCTGAAGAGAGCGAAGCAGCGCTTTCCGCTCTGGCTGGAGGCTGTGATGCTCAGCTGGTGATCCCAGTTTTCAGGGGGGAGGCCAAAGTGGGCGGCTTCCCTCTGGTGGCAAAGGTTTGGCCCGCTGGATCTGCCTGGCTGCCTGTGCTGCCTCCTTCGGCTGGCAGGTGGCTCTGAAGGACCACAAACCATGGCCTGGCACACTGGACACTGGCAATGGCTACAGACGGGGCTTATCTCGTCTAGATAGCTGGTTCTCGTGGGACCTTTGAGATGGTGTGCCTTAAATGGCTGCAGACCGTGAAAACTTGTACCTAAGAATTTAAGCGTTTTCGTTTCCAAGAGGCCACAAGACCCAATAATGTTTCTACTGCAATGGATGAACACAGCTACAGGCCTGGAAATGGTTAAGATTTGAGCATGGCAACCGGAGAATGTTCCACATGAGCAACCAAGAGGAACCCGCTGAGGCTGGTGAACAGGTGAGCATATGCTCCGTCGTCTCCCAGGTTTGGAAGGAATCCTGTGTGGCAAAGCCTGAAGTCCAAAGCTTTTTTTCCCCCCTAAAAGGCAGAAGACAGTGAAATGTGGCAACCCAGTCAGTGCTGGCTTTGCACGGCCGTCGTTCTAGACTTATCCGGAAAAAAAACAGGTTAAAGGAGCAAACCATGAGCGCCAGATAAGGCACCACTAGCAAATAAAATCACTGTTAGGGTTCCAGGGACCTGATGCCCTCAGGGCTTTGCCTCTGAGCATATCCCACTTGCAAATTAAGCCTGTCTTTACTTCCCGATGACCAATCACAAAACAAAGCAGGCTACAGGAGGGGAGAAAAGATCCTCCTGGGTCCATCAGATGCTTCGGCCCATTAGAAGTGTCCCCCTTCTAATGATGTGCTCTGTGCAATGCGTCGGGCGACCCTGATCCTTACTAGTGAAAATGTTTCCTTCAACCCCCCCCCCCAGGGCTCAAGGGATGCCTGCCTTTCTCACACTATCTACCTGCCCCCAGGAAAGAATCACTCAAGCTGCCAAGGGACACCCCCCCTCCAGCCTATTGCAAAGGCTCCTGGGACGGAGACATGGTTGGCATACAAGGGTCTTGCTGCCTAAGAATTAACCTGGTGCCCCCTCCAGGACAGCTCACAGGGCTGCGAACAGAGTTTGGGAGGCAAGGATGTTTCAGGACATTTTTTTTCCCAATGGACATGGGAAGGACAGCTTCCACATATCATGAGCTCTTCCTTTCCCTGCAGGACTCAGCAGATCTTCCTGAGGAACTCAGCACCTTTCGCCCGCGTGCATTTCCCATTGTGCACCCCTGGCTGTGTGCCCGTCATACCCCCCTCCCCCCCTCCCGCTGCAGCCAGCATTCCTCTCTTCAGCCCAAGGCGGTTGCTCTCCTAACTGCCACTTCGCAGGGCGAAAGTCCACATTCCAGGGTTTGTTTTTTTATTATTCACAGTGTAAAACAAATACCTTTGAGTGAATTTTGCCGCCAAACCTCCAGGACTTTCCCGCCCGAGATCTGTACAAATCAAGGCAGTCCATGCAAACTCTTCCCCTCAAGAGGAACCTGGAGGAAATGTTTGCCATCCTTGAGGGGGCTCAGCAAAAATCAGGGCAAGGCTGTATAGTCCCCAAAACAGTACAAATGCAGGAACAGGAGATCCCTTTATTGGACCATTAAGAAAACAAAACCCCTAAAAATTAATCAAGCTTTCAGTGATAATTCATCTTCCTCAGGCTGTGCACCAAATTCTCAAGGGTAGCTCCAGAATTATATGTTTCCATTAAAAATCCCAAAAGTTTCATGGATGTTGTTGGGGGCCAGGTATAGCTTCCTTGATGGACAGAGTTGTAGTCTGCGGTCTTCAAGACACTTGTGCAGGAAGGGTGTGGGTATCTCTCAATTCAGTTCTTTGGCTGAGTCAGGGTTTTTACTACAAAAGGGTTACTGTTTTCCCCAAAGGTGTTCCCAAGGTTGCACCTGCTCCCTAAGGTCACCTGGAGAAGCGAAGCAAAAAGAAGCAACAGCACAACCACCATGTGGCTCAAGAAGAGAATTAGATACTGGGGTTCTTGGTGATGTTTCCTGGCCCATGGAAACTGGCAAGCTTTCAACACTGCATGTTCTCCTTAACCATGGAGAAGCATCTCAGACAATTTTTAAAGAACTCTGCATGTGTGTGTTCCCTCTGTTCCAACAGTCCTAGGTGTAACCTGAAACCTGTGCTAATCCCTTTAACCAAGCCCCTTTAAGGCTGCACCTGCTCTGTTCTGTCCTTGTCCATGCAGGCTTTTTGACTTCAAAATCAAGTCAACATCCTCTCCCCCATCTATTCTCTCCCTCTCCCAAAAACCACACCACATTTTGCCTAGCCAAGAGCTCGGGACTAGCTAAAGTGCCTTCTGCTTTCTGCATCGTTAGCTTACTTAATGAGCTGCTTCTTCCTCCGACTCTCCTTTGCTTCAGCCTTCTGCCATACTTAAGGCAAGATGGTGGCGTCCTAGATGAGAACGAAGGACAAGGTTGGAGAGACATTCCTCCATAATAGCTGTGTTGCCCTTTCTCCTCGGCAGTGTCTGGAAAGCGCAAGCCCTGCCTCCCAAGATGGAGGTGGTTCTCGGATCAGCAGCACTTCCGCTGGTGCCTTCACAGGACAACGTCCAGCTTCAGGCAGTGCAGGCCACAGCTCTTGGCTTACTTCCCCAAGCCCGTGAGTTATTCTCCTTTCTGGCCGGTGGCTGTTTATGGAGTGAGGGGAGGTCAAAGAAGAGAGTTAAAGAGAGCTCCCCCTCGACTCCTCTTGGGCACGGCAGCGGCTTGAACTCACCCACAGCGCTGCTGCAGTTCGCCCACCGTTGCAAACCATTTTGGTTTTCAAGGCATTTGTTAGCAGGATGTTTGCAACAGACCCCAGCATCCAAATATTTTTGTTTCGGAACACATTTTTGCTCCCAAAGTCTCCTTATGCAGTCCAGGGAGTGTTCGTTCGTTATGTCCTGTCAAGTCGGGACTGAGTTATAGTGACCTTAAAAGGGCTTTCAAGGTAAACGAGACACTTATGCAGTGGTGTTACCAGTTCACTACTGAGCTTCCAGGGTTGATTAGGGATTTGAACCATGGTCTCCAGAGTCCTAAGACACTTAAGCAGTGGTGTTACCAGTTCGCTACGGAGCTTCCAGGGTTGATTAGGGGTTTGAACCATGGTCTCCAGAGTCCTAGTCTGTCATTCTGCTACACCACGCTGGGTGCCTTCCAGGGTGTGAACGGGGGAGTCCATGGGGCCGTGTCCCCACGCTCAATTTTAACTTCCTTCAAAAATTAGCCACTAGAGGGCACAAAGGGAAGCAGTGGTGTTACCAGTTCGCTACGGAGCTTCCAGGGTTGATTAGGGGTTTGAACCATGGTCTCCAGAGTCCTAGTCTGTCATTCTGCTACACCACGCTGGGTGCCTTCCAGGGTGTGAACGGGGGAGTCCATGGGGCCGTGTCCCCACGCTCAATTTTAACTTCCTTCAAAAATTAGCCACTAGAGGGCACAAAGGGATTTTTTGAGTTAGAAAACCCTCTTCCCAAAGTTAAACCCATTTCCCAATGTTTGAAAAGTTCACACTGAAGCAACATATACAAAACAAACACAAACACACACACACCAACAACAAAAATCAGTCTTTTTAGACCTGCTGTTCTCTCCTCACCCCCCAGCCCAACCCGTGTAGCCCTTGGGCTGTCCATTGACCTCTGTGCCCCACTGAGGTTGCCCCCCCCTTGTTCGACGGTCTGCCCCTGCTCATCTGGGAAGCACCGGCACTCCAGAGATTCCCCCAGGCCACCTGTTTAGGGGCAGTGGGGTGCCCTCGGTCAAGGGCTTCAATGTCTCAGAGCTTTGCTTCATTAGAGTAGCAAGGCAGAATGGATCGGAACCGTGCTTGACGCGACTGAAACTTCCCTGGCTAGTTCTGGAGAACACCATTCCAAGGCTTAAATTGACCCTCATCCAGGAAGCGGAGGCCACGACGGAGCTGGATTTATAAGGCGCTGCAGGCCATTGGCTGTCGTAAGGTCAACATAGTGACCCTCTACTAAGAAACTCTTTGCTTCTTTGATTTCTATCGATGGCTGTTTGTAAGTGGATGCATCGTTTTGTATACCACACTGAAGGCAGCATTTATGCAGAACATGCACTATAAAGGTGGTGGCTGTCATGTGCCCTCAAGTTGGGAATGGCTTAATCGTGACCCTCAGAGGGCTTTTAAGGTAAGTGACATATTTAAGGAGTGGTTTTACCAGTTCCATCTTCCAGGGCTGAGCCATTTGAACCTGTCTCTCCCAGATAGTCGTAATCTATCACTCCATGCTACACCGCACTGGGTATCCCAGGCTATAAAGGGCATAAACCCAAATCAGCTTCTGGAAGAGGTGAGTTTTTCAGAAATGCAGCCAACGTCTGCCCATTTTAAAAAATCTGATTGCGTTTCTAGACCTCGTGACCTTGAAGCAACATCTTGCCAAGAAACACTTCTCTCTTGGGTTTGTTATGCGTGCACGGGGTGGCAGAAAGGCAGCCACACTCTAGGCATGCTCAGAGTTCACCTGCTTTTTTTGGGGGGGGGATGCAGAATACCCTCTCCAGCCAATGACACATGCCCCCACCACCCCCAGGCAGTACAAAGCAGCTTCTTCTGCCCCAAGAAGCCTCCTTCTCTGAGAAAGGCTGCCCACTGGGTGGCTGGAGCCAGGAAATGCGCCAGAGAAGCTTTCAACGCAAGGTGCAGGCGGGGGGGGGGCTTCCCCCTGCCTTCTAATCCCACCGTAATTAATGACCTTATCTTTGACTCAAGCCAGTTAGCTAAAGTGGCTGGCAGAAAGGGGGGGGGCTGCGGAGATGCTTGGGAGACAGATGGGACACCAGCATTTGTCTGTGGATTAGCCACGGGCAGATGGAGCGAAGGGGCAGCCCTGGTCTTCCCTGCCCCCCCTCCCTCCACTGACATGCACTCCACAGTTAGAATTGGCGGCCGGGGGGGGGTGTCGGGCTGGTCCAGCGGAGTGAAAGACGGCATAGGGTCCTTCTGTGTTGCAATAAGAACTGGCCCCAAGCCTTGGCGTTTGCCCTGGATGGAGTCGCCGCTGCCTTTCCTCCTGCCTTTTTCAGGACCGGGGGGGGGGTCAAGCACCCGCCGTTCGCCCTGGATGGAGGCGCCGCTGTCTTTCCTCCTGCCTTTTTCAGGACAGGGTGTGTGTGTGTGTCAAGCACGGGGAAGGCCTCGCTATGGGGCCAGAGGCCGTGGCAGGACTGTGCGCCCACCACGCAGCTGTGGGCCCTTCCACGGGCACCTTGGCGAGCTGGCTGCTTCTGCAACTCACTCGCTGACCACATGGGGAAGGTCCAGCTGAACCGGGGCGCGTCTTTCCCTCCCCACTGATGTCTCTCTGCAGGAACTGAGTCCCAATTTCAAGACTACAATCATCCCCATCGAAGGACTCCAAAAGGCGGCTCCTGTGCAGCCTCTCAGAGGACCCAGCGCTGGCAGAAGGGGAAGAGGGTGTTTCCTAAGAGGTGCACACAGAGGGATCCGGCGATGTTCACGGGACCCTCCAGAGGTGGGGGGGCCCAAGCTTCCTCAAAGGCCCCGTGACCCTTTGCACTCAGGCAGCGGGTCTGCGCCTCTCGTGGAGCGCAGGGGGACAGAAGGAGGACCCCGGCCCTCTGAGGCGCTGGCCGTGTAAGGAGTCATTCCCCAGCGATTCAAGCCCCTTCCTCAGGGTCCCGTCAGGGGGGGCCCTTTGCAGAGGTCGAGAGGAACAGCCCTCCCCTGACCCAAAGGCTATGGCGTGCGTTTGGTCCTTGCAAAGACCGGCCCCACCTCTCCAGCCTCCCAGCGCCCCAAAGAGACCCACGGCAGAGGGAACCCACATGGGCGACCGGCCTTGCCCTGGGGCTTCCCGTTGCATCACAGGACCCACCGGGAAATGTGGCCTCAGCGTGACCTTCCCCGTGGGGCAAGAAACCAGTCTGGGTATCATAAGTGGACGCAACGTCACCTTCCTTGCCCGTTGCCTTCCTGGAGCTCTCACAAGAGATGCCTGGCTCTCCCGCCCTTACAGACGGATGGCTCCAGCTCTCAAAAGGCACCACCAGCAACTGGACCAGAATATGAAGCTTTCATCAGATAGAAATATATATATATAATTTTTTAAAAGCCCCATCAGCACCATGATGTTCGTGCTTAGACCAGCTTCACCCGTTGCTTCCAACATGAAATAGTTCCTTTGCTCAGAATCTCCACCTTGAAGAAGGTATGGGTGTCTCCGTGACCTCCCCCTCCCCCAGGGAGGGTCCGATCCTGCCCGTCTCTAGCCCAAGTGTCAACGGGCAGTCCGGGGATCACAGGCAAGGCTGAGCGGGTTCCACCGGCCCTTCCTCCTTCTCCTCGTCTCTCTGCCACTCTCCTCTCTCTGGGCAGCCGCGGCCGGGCTGGGTGGCGCTGGCGGCCAGGCGTTGCAGCCGCTTCAGGAAGAAACGGTGGGACTTGGATCCGAGGTGAGCTGCCAACACAAGCCAGAGGATTCCTATCAGGGACTTGGGCCTGGTGAGGAGTGTCATTGCCTAAATCACGGGGGGGGGGCAGGGGGTGCAAACGACCGCTAACGTGAGAGGTGTGCCATGAGGAACACCAGCAGGGAGCTGCTCATTCTGCCGTCACACTTCATGCCAGAGGAAATCCCCGACAGAATTCCAGCTGTTGCTTTGCCAGCAGAAGTTGAATATTTTTCAAAATATTAGGGTGGAGAAACTATAGGGCAAGTTCTGTGCTCCGATACGCCTGGCCGACATCCCCCTGAGAAGGTGTCTTCTTTATTCTAAATGTACAAGGAGATAGATATGGGTTGGGCACCATGACTGGGATGGAGATGATCAGGAGTAAGAAGGTGGATTCCTGGTTTGGGACAGAATATCCCAGAAGCGGAAAGGATGTATTTGAAAGCTTCTCCCGGGAGCTGCCCTTCAATGAAACAGCTAGCACCTCAGGAAAAAGGTTCGAACGACAGCCCACGTGCTAGTGTTCTGCCTGGCAGAGCGGCTTTAAAGGAGCAAGTCTGGCTCACAGTTTCGACCAATATATTCCTTGCACCGTCCCCTCAGTTTTGCCCCAATCTGCAAGACCAGCCCTTTGAGGTCAAGGCTTTGATAGCCATTTTGCTTTCTTTGAAATCCACAAGAGCAAAAGAGCCTTTCATCGATTTCTCTCCCTGTTGCATTCCTTCGGGGCTAATCCTGCAGAACTTTCAAGGCCAAAGGTGAGAAGATCCACTTCACCTTTTTTGGGCCATCCTTTCCTGGCTGCGCTAAGCAGGTGGAAACTGGACCACTGCTCCCTCCTTGCAGGAAAATGCTAATTTTTCGCCAGCACCTTCTGCACAAGGAGGACTAAATCACTCGCCAATGCTCCTTCTGCTTCCTGCTTCCTCCTCCAGCAGCTCCAGGGACTCCCTTTGTCCTCGGAGGTCCCCACTTTTACTGCTGCATCAGAGGAGGGGCGGCCCTGCAGGGAAGGGAGGAAGGGCGGCCGGCTGCAGCGGCAGGAACAGATGGTCCTGGCCAAGGCTCTTGGCCTCCCACCAACTCAAGGAGCGGCTCTCCTGGAAGAGTTGCAGGCCACCCTTGGGGGGAGCAGATTGCGGGAGCAGCCCAAGCCGGGCCCGTCTCTGGCCACCGAGGGACTCCGTACAAGCCCACCAGGCCTGGCTGACTGCTTTCCTTCTCTCTCCCCCTCACCCCACATCCCCCTTCTTCTCCTCCTCCCCTCCTTCACCTTTCCATTCAGTGTCTCCGATGATGATCCTGTCGCATACCTCGCAGGTGCGGCGACTGTGCTTGTCCCCCTCCGGCCCGGGCTCCGGAGTGATGGGCTTGGTGGCCGGCGGCCGCCCCTGGAGAGAGAGAACACACGAGGGCACTGGTGATGCCTGGAGATGGGGGTGGGGGCGTGCAGGGCCCATGGAAGGCTCTGTGGTCTGTTCCAGGTGGGCAGGTGGCATCGCCATCCCAGCTCAAGCTCCCCTGCGGGAGACCGCCCCATGGTACGGGGAGACATTTTTAAGAGGAGATGTGGGTCCCTTCCCCCTCCGAATGCCAGTGGCCCTCCTCCTTTAGGGATCTAGCAGAAGACTGTGTGGGATTCTGAACCCATGTCATTCGCTGCTATGATCTCACCAACCGGCTCAAGGAGGGGCTTCCTCTCCCCAGTTTTATATGTACAAAAACAACCTTATGAGGTAGGCCAGGCTAAAGAAAGAGTGCCACTGGCCCAGAGCATTCTGTGCCCAAGGAAAGTTTGTTAGGGGTTCTCCTCCCCATTTTCATTTCTCAGCTCAAAGCTGGTCCGGATACCTGGCAGAAACTCTGCACAATCTGGAAAGCTGGTTCCAGCACCTTTTCTTCCCACTGAGAGAGATCGGAGACGTCCAAACCGTACACGGGAGGGATGTTCGGTCCGGGGCCTGGAGAGAGAGCCAGGAAAGAAAGAAGGTGGCCCTCGGTCCCCGCGCTGGCCTTGAGCTCCAGGGCTCCCAACCTTGGGTCACCCTGACGTTCTCGGATGGCAGCTCCCAGAAATCCTGGCCAGCACCGCATTCTCGGACAGCAGCTCCAGGAATCCTGGCCAGCACCGCCCGGGGTGGAGGCTCCAGGCAGTCGCAGTCCAAGAGCAGCACCTGGAGAGACCCCAGGCTGGGAACCCCTCCTCTAACTGAGCTGTGGTCTAACTACGCTGGCTGCAGCTTCCTCGGACCTGTCGTTTTTTTATTCACGCTTCTACAGGGAACCCAAAGTTCTGGCTCAAATCAGGGCACCTGTTTTCCCCCTTGGCTCCCTCCACCCTTGGCGCCACCAAGAAAGAGCCCGGCTTGGGTCCTTTTTGGTGGTGGTGCCCCTCTCAGCTCTGAAATATTCTCCCAACCGAGAACCAACAGGTTTGACCTCTTCGACGCTCTCTTACCAGGAGTTGAAGGCTTTTATAAAAGAAAAAAAATGTGGAAGACTTTTTCTTTTTACCACTCTGGATAATCTCAGATCTTGCGGCTGCCTGATTTCAGTGGATTTTAATGTTTTAATATCATAGACAATTTGGGACTGAGTGTGATGAAAAACAACCAGGGAGAGGCTGAAGCATCTGGCAAGAGACCAAGGCAAAAACACCTGGCTTCGAAGAATGCACAAAGTATTATGTCTTTTGTGCATGAGGCCTAGAAATTTGTTCTTTCCAAAGCATGGCCAAATCCCATACCTGAGGGGCCAGGTGGATGCAGGTGCAGGCCGCCCTCTGGAAATGCCCAGAAACCCTGCCCCCCCAGCCTAGGAAGGATGCCACCTGCCTGCCGCTCCATCCCGAGGCGCCAGCCCTCACCTGGACAGCCCTACAGAGAAGCAGGCCATGCTCCTTCCCTCCTTGTCCACAAAGGCCCAACTCCAGGGCACACCTGCTGACCTATGGAATGCGGGGCGGAAAAGGCAAGGACAGGAGGAGGCACACCTGGGCTAGGAAAAGCCCCTGCACCTGGTTCGACATTTCGCCTCCTTCTTCTCCTTTCTCGGGTTTCTTTCACGGCACCCTCCAACACACACACACACACACACTGCACTCCTCCTCCTCCTCCTCTGCTTGCCTTTCCCCTAAACCCACCGGGAGGGAACCTTTCAAGAAGCGCGCGCTCGGCTCCCAGCTGCCGGGTTGGCATGCCTCCAACGGCAAAGCCCGGCCAGGCAAAGCGGAGGCTGGCAGGTCCCCCTGTCTCCCTGCCAGGGGTGCCACACGGGCAAGGCAGGGAAAGGCCAATCCGACTGGGGGGGGGGGGAAGAGCTGCTTGGCCTTTCGGGGCCTTTCACTTTAATGGGACCCCGTGGCCACAGATGTCTCCCCGGACATGGCCTTCCTATTTTTCAGTGCTTTGCTCCCTTGGTCGCTCCCCGGCTCTCCTCAGCCATCCTCTCACCCTTTTTAAACACCCCCAAAACCATCCATCGATTGAAATTACAAATAAGCACTAAAGCCCCGTTGAAAGGATTTCAAATTTTCGGGGCCTTTCGCTTTAACGGGACCCCGTGGCCACAGATGTCTCCCCGGACATGGCCTTCCTATTTTTCAGTGCTTTGCTCCCTTGGTCGCTCCCCGGCTCTCCTCAGCCATCCTCTCACCCTTTTAAAACACCCCCAAAACCATCCATCCTTTGAAATTACAAATAAACACTAAAGCCCCGTTGAAAGGATTTCAAATGAATCTTGCTACATGAATTTTTTTTTGGGGGGGGGGGAAATATCTGTTTAGGTTAATCAGAATTTGTTTTCATGGTGAGAATCTCACCATCTGGTGCCTGCTTGGAATTCCTTCACATCCTCACCACCACCAGGTCCCCCCTCCCTGAGAGAGAGAGAGAGAGTCTAGAAATTAGCAATACAAGGCTTTGCAAAAGGGGAGTCAGCAAAAGGGTCTGCCCCTCTCCCTCTTCGAAACGGGGCATGGCGGTGGCCCCAGGGAAGAAGGACTTACGCCTGAGAAAGCGGTTCTGGATCCACTTGTTCTGATACCGGGCGTACCGCCTGGTCGCAATCTTCAGAGCCTCGATCCCTGAAATGACACAATGGAAATAGATTTTAAAAAAGGAGGGCAGGAAAAAGCAAGCAGGAAAAGAGAGGTGGGGGCGGGCCGGTGGTGTTTCTATCAAAAGATCTTCTGAGCAGCCCAAAAAAAGGACCAGTCCAATCTCTAGAAGATTTTGGAGGGGGGGTGGAGAGAAACACAACACCCTGTAGTGAAGTTTGGAAAAGCAAGGCTGTGTTTTCCTGGCACAACCAAACAGGTTTTGACCTGTTCCATGAGCCAAAACTTCTCCCAAAGAATCTGGCAGTGCGGCTGGGGGAGAGCTTGCTCAAGATCCTACTTACGTCTCCTGCAAAACGTGTTCTCTCCCCAGCCTGTGATGCTCATTTTTCATGCCATTTACAACACAAACCCCTTGTGCTCCCCTGCCCGCCCGCCCACCCCCCCCACCCTGCAAAACGCCAGGGGGGGGCTGCCTTCTGCCCACCTTGTTCCAGAAACTGGCTGCTCTCCTCCTCTGTGCACTTGCCTTCCGTGATCAGGAACTGGTGGAATTCCTTGAAGCCGATGGATTGGAAAATGCCGTGCTGATAATCCTGGCTGAGGAGGGGGCCAAAAAAAAGGGGTGTGTGTCTCAGCTCTTTCCTTCTGAGCGCTCACATACGTCCCCTAACATGGACCAAACCGCTCCCTCCACCAGCTGCTGACATCTGGCCTGAGCAATCCATGGGGCGCGGGCGAACGCAGGGGTGTGTGTCTTGGTCCAATCAGACAGGGGTCCTTCCTTGGGACAAAGTGTGCCAGCGCCTCTGGGGGTAGGCAGACAGCAGGCCCTCCCAAGGGGATAAGTCTACAACTCCCATTAAGCCAGCCAGCAGGGAGGAACGATGGGAACTGGAGTCCAATTAGAACTGCGGGGGGGGCACTCTTGCTCCAACGTGCACCCCCGCACACACACAAAATGGACTCCAACGTCGATCCCCTCCCCTGGGAGAGGAGCATGGAGTGGGGGAAACTCACGTGTCTGACGCCACCCACTCCTCGTTGTAACGCCGGTGAAAGCTCTGCAGTTCCTCAATCAGCCCAGCCGCCAGCATGGCGTCCACGCGTTGCTCCAGCCGCTCGTCCAAAACTGAGGAAGACCCACAGAAGGGAACGTTTTAGGACAAGGGTGGGCTGCTGCAGGACTGGGGTGGGGTGGGCTGGGGATTTCACACCAGCCCCTCTGAAACGACCTTGGAAGGACTCGTCAGCTGAAAGTAAAACTGAGACCTTCCAAAACCAGAGTTTTTGCTAAAACTAAGGTAGGAGAAAGAACACCTTATTTTAGAACGCTTTCAGTCTCGTTTTGCATCTCCTGCCCTCAAGTGTAGCAATTGCTCTAACCCTGTTATGCAAAAGCTATGGACAGGGTCAAAGAAGCCGTACCAGCGGACCTTCAGTGAAGATCAGAAGCAAGCCAAGAGGATCGGGGCCCCAGGTGCTGCTGCTCCTCAGCCCTCCTCCCTTTGTTTACCTGCTTTTTCTGCATAAAGCCATAAGATGCAAGGGTTGGGGTACTTCAAGGGCCCCCCCAACGGCCCCCCGCCTTCCTCCTCCCGCTGCTGTTGCAGGAGCTTGCTGTGCGAGACGCCGGTTTCTTGAAAAATCTGCAAACTTCTGCAGGGGAGAAAGTCCAAAGGTCAGTTTTAGGGGTTGGCCCACCTCCTTCGTGGGGGTGGAGTGAGGCCGGAACGCCACTGGGCCCAGAAGGCAAGACCCCGCTGGGCTCCAGCAACCTGTGGGTCACAGTCCCAGAGAGGGTTCCTAAACCTGGACAGTCCCAGAAGTGGGGGGCCACGGTGGCGGGAGGGCGTGGAAGAAGAGGGAACGGAATCCGAAGGCTGTGACAAAGGAAGCTTTTATTGCGGGCCCAAAATATTGCAGACCTAATGCGTTTTTTGGAGCAAAAATTAATCTAAGACCGTGTCTTATTTTCGGGGAAACAGGGTACAAGGGTGCACGGGAAGCAAACCTCAGCCCCTTATTCGGGCAGAAACGTCCCGAGGGGCGGGGGGAGCAAAGGCGCAGCAGCCTGTGGGACACCTCAAAGATTTAAAGATCCTTTGGGTGTCAAAGCGCTCCTGCAGAGCACAGGCAGCGGAAGAAGCAGTTTTCAGTCCGCAGACATTTACACCCCAAAAATGCCGTTCTCTGTCTTTGAAGGTTGCAGTGGTTATTCATCGCGGAACAGAGAACGAGGACGTGCTTCGGGACGGACCCCTCCCCATCGGGGCTCTAGTGTGGCTCGGCGGCTCCGGCCCTGTCTCAGCCGCCAGTCGGCCACGTCCACCTGGGGGGCTCCGGCTCAGCTGCGCCAGGAGAAGACGCCCCCCTTGCTCGCTCCATGAAGGGCTCCCAGGCAGGGCTGGGTTGGGAGAGTCTGGCGGGACGGCAAGCCGAGGCCCGCCAAAGCCTCCTTTCCCACGCGTTCGAGGCATGCGATGCTGCTCAGCCGGTCGGGCCACTTTCTCCTCCAGTGACGGTGGCGAACGAAGGCTCTGCCTCTCCGTCGTCCCACCCAGCCCGGGAGTCAAGGCTCTGGTGGCAGCGAGGGCGGAGGCTTGCTTCCTTCGCAGTGCCTGACACCAGAGAAGGTGCCGGTCCCTCCCAGCCCCGAGCAATTCGATCCCCCCACTGGGCCAAGGAAGACCTGGCATGCAGCCCCACAGAGGAGCCAAGGGCATGCTTGATTTCAGCCACGGGGACAGAATCCCACCCCTCGCTTTTCCCTTCACGCTCTGCAGCGCCCAAGCCACAGCGCTTGAGACAGTTACTCCTTGGAAGGGGTCCGTTCCCTCGCCTCAGGACAGTGTCAGCCACGGAAAGACCCCCATTTCTAGTTCCCCGGTTCACATTTTAAACAATCACGTTACCTGTTGTACTGTTAACATCTTTGTTATTTCCCACTACTTTAAAATAATGATAATAGCAATAATAATAATAATCTTAGAACGGCAGAGCTGGGAGGGACCCTGTGGACCCTTTTCCTCCAGTCCAGCCCGTGTCAAGGAAGCCCTGTGGGGGAATCGAACCCCCAACCTCCAGCTCTCCAGCCAGAGACTTCAATCCCTGAGCTCTTCTAGCCAAAATCACCCAGAAGGCTTTTAACGGCAGCCGTTTACAAGATGGACTCCCTCCCTAAAGGAACCCACAGGCTTGAGAGGTCAGCAGAAATACGAGATGGGACCCCCCCCCCTGAAGGAACCCACAGGCTTGAGCCTGGAAGAGGGTCAGCTGGGCCGTTGGGGACGCTCACGCGCCGGGTCGCCATGAGTCGGAGGCGACTTAACGGCACGTCACAACAACAGAGAAAACATCGTTTGTTACACCAGGGAGAGGGTTGCCTCTGGCACGCTCCCTAGAGTTACCTTTGACATGTTATCCCAGAGGGCACCTAGTTGATGGTACCTGCACTATTTCTTACTCGCTGGTTCCCTGCTCTGCTGAATGGAGGCGAGATGCGGGAAGCAGGCCTTACCTGGCGCCCAGGTTTCTTAGCCAGGCCCGCTGCCTGCCCAAGCCAGGGAAGCCACGGCCGCCAAGATGCTGCTTGTGCCCGGACGCCGCCTCCCTCCTTTTGAGCCCAGAGGAGGAAACGCTCTGCTTCACAGAGGCACAGGGACCTCCGGCCGCCACCTCCCCCGCCCCTGATGGGCCCTGACCATCAGACAAAGACACGGCCCTTCTCCCGAGGCTCCCGCCTGGGGCAGACAGACCTGGCCAGCTTACGCTTGTCGTGGGGATGGAGCCTGGCCGCCATCGCAGGGTCCACCTGGCTCAGTCGGCGATGAAGCTCTCGGCTGTCCAGTTTCTCCAGCTCGGCCCTCCGGTCCACGGTGTCTGGATGCTGGTCCTTCTGCAAGAAGCCAACGTTATCCCAACCACCCTTTTGGCCCCTCTCTGACCTTCTCACCAGAAAAAAAAAAGACAGTTTGAGAAACAGAAAGGACTGGCCGGGCACATCTAAATTCCTGAAATGGCCAAAACAAGACATGGGGGGGGCGTGGGGAGGGCAGGAAGGGGTGGGAATGACTTTTAAATGGTAAATTCCTCTCTTCAGGCTTCCTGGGAGGTGGGGGAGGGACAGGCAATTTGCTATTTGGGTTCTTGTTTTTTTAATTTTTCCAACTATTGGAGGTAAGACCCCAGAAACCCAGCCCTCAGGGATCCAGCACTGATTACCTCTGTGCCAATCAGAACCTTCCAGAGGAGCGACTCAATGTAATAGTTGGTGCCTCCGACCACAATCGGAATCTTTCTGGAGGCCAAGAGTTCTTTGATGTGGGAACATTTAGGAACACAAGAACCAACAGGAAGAGCCCCCCACCCCCCCCCCCACCCCGTCCCACAGGCGGCCTTGACAAAAACTTCCCATTTCACATTGAAACTGGTCCGGGGCCAGAAACCTGACACTAATTGGCAGATATTACCGGCAAGTACGTAACTTTTTCACCTTTTACTCCAAGAGCGTGGCAGATTCCCGACTCTGTGGGCTCACAGGAGGCTTTTTGGCTTTCCTCCTGACCATTGGTGGAGGAATTGTTTTGTTCAAATTGTGAACTCGTTTTAAAAATGTCAGAATTGATCTAGATTGTTTTGAGGTGATTTCACTGATTCCACCTCGTTCTGGCAGCTCCTGGTAAAGGAGCAGCTTAGAAATATTTCTACCCATCCACCCATAATTTTAAGGAAGATGACATCAAAATCCTAAAAATAAATGAAAATAAAAAGAAGGCAGCAAATCTGAACTATCAATGTGAGCAACAAAACCATCAAAGTTGGGGGGTGGGGGAATTGTGAAGATCTCCCTTCTTTCCACTCATTATATTAATAATTTTCCTTTAATCATGGAGAACCCGAAACCATTTTCTTTCTTTTTTTGTTTAAAGGCTAGGATTCCAAGCAAGGTGGCCCAGGCTACAGGCTACTCCATCCCAGCTAAAAATCCATGGGTCCGGACACCCGAACTTTTCCTTTCTCTTTGCTCCTGCTCGCCATTCCTGACCGCCCGTTTCTCCCCTCCCAGCCTCTGCTCTTGACCACACTCTGGACACGACGGCCACCTTCGCGCACAGAAAGGACAGCCACGAGGCGCAACCACTGGAAGGATATGAGAGCGGTGGCCTCGTTCCTGAAGTCCAGCACGGTGTAATTGGTGACCAGAGGGTCAACGAAGCTGATCATGTGGTGCTTGCAGAGGGCTTGCTCCTGAGGAGATGCTTTATTGGTGATGATATCCAGGCCCTTGTACACCTGAGGGGGAAAGGCCAGGAGGGACAGACCAAACTTTATTTATTTATTTTATTTAAAATATTTCTATCCCACCTTTCTCCCCTAAAGGACCCAAGGTGGCTTACACCATTAAAACAATATTTAAAAGCTAAAAAAACAGGAAGTATACAAATATTTTAAAGGAATTAAACCACAATTAAAATGGTAACAAAGATGAATATTAAAACACATTTTTTAATGGAGTGGTGTAAAAACTTTATTTATTTATTTTATTTAAAATATTTCTATCCCACCTTTCTCCCCTAAAGGACCCAAGGTGGCTTACACCATTAAAACAATATTTAAAAGCTAAAAAAACAGGAAGTATACAAATATTTTAAAGGAATTAAACCACAATTAAAATGGTAACAAAGATGAATATTAAAACACATTTTTTAATGGAGTGGTGTAACCGGATTTCACAGGATTAAAATGGTAACAAAGATGAATATCAAAACACATTTTTTAATGGAGTGGTGTAACCGGATTTCAGCTGTTGTCTTCCCTGTGTTTTAAAATCACAGGAACATGGAACAGGGGGAAAAAAAGGATTCAGGACTGGACCCTTACCAAAAACGTTCCTGCAACACAGAGGGGTGGGGGAGAGCCTTGGGCCCTCCAGATGTTCTGTCCTACAACATGCAAGCTTGGGCACACGGGGGCCTGATCTGCTGAATTCATCCCCCCCCCCGCTGCCCCCTTCAAGAGGGGGAGAACTGTCTTGGAGAAGCAGAAGGGGGGCCACAGAGGCTGGCACTGGCTCCCCGCCAAAGGAGAGGGACTTCCGGGTACACACACACACACACACACACACACACACACACACACACACACACACACACACACACACACACAGAGGCATCAACTGCCAGGGCCCCCACAGACTGACCCAAGATGGGGGGCTGGGACGGGGGGGGGAGGGCTTCCACAGCTGCGGAGGTCTTTCCTGCTCCAGGAAGACCCCGGGGGCCTGTCTTGGAGAGGCTGCTTTCCCATTGAGCCACCACAGGTTGCGGGTTCGAGTCCCAGGGCGTCCCTGCCCAGCTCGGCCATTCGAACCTGATCCTAAGCGCCTGCCGGGCGCGGCGCGTTTTAACCGTTTGGCTACAAATAAATACATTACAGATAAATATTGACAGTGTGACTCTGCGTGTTTTCTCTCAGCGGCCTCCCGGATGGCAGCAGGGCGGGGCGCCCCCCCCCTTTCTCTCTCTCTCTCTCTTTCTTGGTTTCTCTTAAGGAGCAGACTTTGGAAAGCCCTCTCCAACCGGGCTCCCCTTTTACACCAGTCAGAAGCCCACGCACGTGTGTGTGCGTGTGCGTGCGGGGCTCACGTGTCTGTGTGTGTTCGTGAGAGGCTTCTTCCTCCTCCTCCTCCACCTCCTCCTCCTGCGGAAGGGGGGCGGTGCGGGGCTTGGGCGCTCTGCCCATGCTCAGGGGCGCCCTCCTTCCCTCCCTCCCTCCCCTTTTACCTGCATGGAGTCGGCGCTGACGATCTCGGCGCCCAGGCGGAGCGCCAGCTGCAGCGCCAGCCGGGACTTGCCGGTGCCCGTCGCCCCCACGATC